TGCTCTCTCTGGATAACTCTGACTTTTGAATAAAGAAATCTTTTAAAAAATCTAAAATGAAAATCAATCCCTATCCTTCATGTACAAAGTGAACACAGGGGTACATTTGGCTTAGCGGTAAAGATGCCCAATCCCACTTCAGCTTCCTGCTGATGCAGACCCTGGGAGGCAGCAGGGGATGGCTCAGGTAGTTGGGTTCTTGCCACCCACGTGCAAGACCTGGATTGATTTCTTGGCTCACAGCTTTGACCTGGCCCTGCGAAGGCCACTGTGGGGATCTGGGGAGTGAACCTGTAGGTGGGGGCTGTCTCACCCTGTCTCTCTGCCATTCAAATTAAAAAAAGAAGTAGAAACAGCATTAATCAAAATAAATTTTGGATCAAATATAGACTTCAATGGAAATCATAAAATCACATAATATAAAGGGATATGTATTACATGTGAAATCTTTTCACATAAAAAGGATATTTGTTGAACTTGAGAGGATGGAGAAACCTAAGCATGACAGGAAAGGCAGAAAGAGTCAAGGAGAACACAGAGAGATCGAAACAGGACCTTGAGCTGCAGCTTGGCCTGGGCCTCCTGAACAAAGCTGCAAGGCTGACGACAAAGAATGGGTATTTGCAACATGAATGACAGGCCCAGAGTCCATCTCCCAGCTGCCTTGTTAAAGAAAGAGGCCTCACAAATAGGTTAAAAGAAGTGATGGCCCTATGGATTACCAGGCAAAGCTGCCGCCTGTAATGCCGGCATCCCATATGGGCACCGGTTCGAGTCCTGGCTGCTCCTCTTCTGATCCAGCTCTCTGCTGTGGCCCAGGAGAAGCAGCAGATCGTCTAAGTCCTGGAGCCCCTGTACCTGTGTGGGAGACCCAAAGGAAGCTCCCTGCTACTGGCTTCGGATTGGCACAGCTCCGGCCATTGCAGCCACCTGGGGAGTGAAGCAGCGGATGGAAAACCTCTGTCTCTCTCTCGCTCCGCCTTTGCCCCTCTGTAACTCTGCCTTTCAAATAAATAAATAAGTCTTTAAAAAATAGGTTAAAATAGGGTGAGACAGACAGATGGAGAGGCAGAAAGTGAGAAGCACACACACATACACACAGAGTCCAACAGAGATGAAGGCAGAGAGGTAGAAATAGATACTCCAGACACAGACACCAAGAGAAGAGCAGAAGCAAAGTAGAACAACAGGGAACTTCATAAGAACCCAGCTAGCCTGGTCTTCAAATCTCAAGATCTCCCTGCCCCTCCCAGGATTAGCCAGAGCTAAGGCTGCAGCCCCACTCTGATCTGTTCACTCCCCAAATGGCCTCAATGGCTATGGCTGGGCCAGGCAGAAGACAGGAGCCTGGAATTATATCTGGCTCTCCCATGGTGGGAAGCAGGGGCCCAAGTACTTGAGCCATCTTCTGCTGCCTTCCCAGGCACATGAGCAGGGGGCTGGATTGGAAGTGGGGAAGTCAGGACTCAAACTGGTACCCATATTGGATGCCAGTGTCACAGGCAGAAGCTTAACCTGCTGTGCTACAGTGCTGGCTCTGGACCACACATCGTTAGAAAAGTCCTGCCTATCTCATGTCTCCCAGCTTTTGATGGATATTAAATGGTAAAGAGTGCCAGACTGCACTCTCCAGCAGAGCAAGGGGCAGCCATTATGTGTTGCTGTGCAGTGGGAAGACGTGGCCTTTAGCTGTCACTGAACACAGTGGGGGTGGGAAGGGGCTGAGAACACTTCCCCATTATCATTTCAGAGCCCATGGACAGCTGCCTGGCTAGACAGCTGCTACCTTGTCTATCTCAACAGGAGGACACCAGCGACTAAGATCAATCAGTCAATAGAAAAACAACAGCATCAGTTTCTAACTGTAAAATATGCTGTACAACTATAACTGTGTCTGTAGAATCAGTGGAAAGACCTAGAAGTGCCCAGGAACAAAGTTTGAGCAATCTATCTTTTGAATTGATACACATTTAACTTTGATTAGAATTTTTAAATTAAACAAAAAAGAAACAGCTGTCCAGCACTTTCCAGTGTTGCCAGCGGTCAAGGAAGGAATTGAGCTGTCCCAGTTAATTAAGCAGGGGTCACTGCTCATTGTAAACAACACTTAGTGGGCTGCTAGGGAAGGAGCCACAGTACAGGTTTAAAGGGCGGCAGGACCTCCAACCGAGTAGGATCTGAGAGCACCCATTGCTCTGTATCTGCGACCCATCCTCTGTGCATGAGAAACAACTCAGCTCAATGAGAGAGCACCACGGCTGCACCTTCACTATCCTGGGAGAGTCCACGGGCTTCTCCAGAGAGCTAGAGGGAAGGCAGATATTGCGTTCCTTCACTCATTCCTCAACTCATCCACAGCAGAAGCCTCTGCAGGATGACAGGAGACCCAGAGTGGGGGTAGGGGTCCAGCTCAGTGTGGGGCCAGCACCCCAACATGCAGGAGGGGACTCTGGAAGCATGTGGAAAGTGGCATGAAAAGGCAAGTGTATTGGCGTAAAGGATTTTGGAAATCCATGCAATCTTTTTCTTAGCAATCCTATAAATATTCTTATTAGTATAATCCTTCATTATAATGAATTTATATGTGGAAAAACGTGCATGATTCTCAAAGATAAATTCTCTCATTCATAAAAATGCCTTTCTTCCTGCAGTTAAAAAGGCACTGATTCTACCAGTCTATGTTTTACTGACACTATCTTCCTTTTTGGGTTACTTTTTCTATGTCTGATGTTTACAGAACATGACAGATCTGGCTTCTGCAAAATATTATGATTTCATGTGTTCCTAATGTCAGCCACCAAAGTCCTTGTTAAGTTATTTACTGTATCTTTCAAATCATTATTGAAATGTGTTTTTATATAATTTATAAAACATCTTATATCAGATAGCCCCAAAGTCATATAAAATATTAAATAATACAGTAGCAGTAGCTTTGGCCTTAACTAAACTTAAACAATTCTAGAAATGTCTCTCCATTTAATATTAACTTGAAACATACAAAAATCATATATACATGAAACATACTATGTCTAAAATATTTCTGATACTTTAAAAGATTAATTCTTCCAACACCTTCCATATTGACATAGAATTAAAACTATTAACCAAAACACCAAATTAAAATCAAATAATTCTCTAAATACTGAGAGTCACAAGTGAAACCTGATATGTTTTCCTCTCTACAACTCTGCTCAAAGGAAAACCCTGAGCATAAAGTCCTGGCCCTCCTCTTCGCTTCTGTCTCCTCCCCCAAAGGGGAAGGCTAGTTCTCTTATTTTTAGCCCAGCCCTAGCAGCAGCAGCAGAGACATCACTTAGGAACTTGCTAGATTTCCTCTTCTTGGCCCCCACCTGTTGTGCTGACCTGAGTCCAGCAATCTGTGTTTCTCCAGGCCCTGCGAGACAGCCGACCCTTTCCTAAAGTGGAAGAATGGACGTCCCAGCCTGGAGGCTTCGGGGACTCTGAGCCAGAGGAGCCAGCTCCTCGCTGCTCTGAAGCCGTCCGTGGAGAAGACACACACACCTGCACCAGGTCCCGGAACCTACACCAGTCCTCGGGCCTCCTGCCTCTCAGCCGGGTCAAGGTCTCCATACTGGGCTTTATCACCGCGCCCTAGAACACACCTGCTCCCCCTCCCAGGGCCGGGGAGCCCCCTTTCTGCCAAGGGCCATCTGGACATTATAGCATCCTCCGCAGCCACACAGGTTGTCAACTTATTGGAATTCTGAGCCCCAGCTGCGGCTGCCTGGGCAGCACCAGGCCACAGGATTTCAGGCGCCTCAGACAGCTTGCGGGCCCTCCTTCCCGCCCTAAGATCACTTTCTTTAGAAGTCACTTCTAGCTGTCTGGCAGGTCCTTCTCTTCTAGGCGCACAAACCAACAAATATAAACCAATTTATTAATAGTAATAAACCCAAAACCCATCCTTACTACCCCTGCCTCAAAGACGAATGGGGCATCAGGCAGTCTGGTTATGAGGAGAGGTCACTGCCACACTGCTTTCCAGGCATCCTTAGGGGACTCCCAATGACCAGAGGTGGAGGAATGGCTGGTGGGCGGGTACTCGATTATGCAAAGTAATCAACTGCTCCAGGGCATTCAAACCCCTGGTTCATGTGGGGAGGCTTCCTGAAAGGACACCTCCAGAGAGGTGAAGACCACAGACCACCTGGGGAAGCCCCATAGGCGCCCCTGGCAGGCGGCCCCTTCTGCAGCCCAGAGCTGTGCAGACAGCTTCAGGAATGTCGCCAGCAAGCGGAGCACCTCGGACTCCCGCGCCGCGTCCCGCCCAGCGCCTGCTTCCCTGTCCTCCCCCGCCTTCCCGCTCCAGCTCCTGTCCCAAGTATTCTCTTAGCTGGGAATACCAAGACAGCGAGTGGCCAGCCGCTGCACTCCCGACTGGAACCCGGTGAGCGCGCACACCTGCACGGCCCCTGCCGATCCCACGCACGCCTCAGCCCCCGGGACTCGGCTCACCTCCCAGGCCGGTCTGGCCCCCGCGCCACCTGCAGTGCCGGCCGCCCGGCGTGCGCTGGCCAGCCTCTCCCTGCAGCCCCACCCCGACTGCCTTCCATTACTTTTCTATGGCCGCGCGTCTCCACAGCGCTAAACACCGGACATGGTCCACACTCTTCCCTCGCGCCGGAACACGAGCTACAGAACCGGAGGACCCCGCCCCATGGGACTCGCGGCTGCCCCGCCCCTCGCGTGGAGTCCTCACCTGTCCATCACAACGAAACCGCTTCCCGCCGATGGCGCGCCCAGTCCTTCACACACAAGGAGCCGCAGCGCTCAGTCATCACGAGCGCTCCCGCCGGAGACCGTCCGTTCTCACCTGTTTCTCCCCCGTCCTCATGCAGCTCCGCGCTCAGCCTCTTCAAGGCAGCACCGCTTCCAACCGCCAGGCCGCGAGCAGCCGCCAACGCGGAGCGCGCGACTGACCACGTTTTCGCTGCGGCGCGTGTGCGCGCCGGGATTTTCAGGGACGCGGGTTCCGGCGCGCCGGGGACCCGGCTCTGTGGAGCTGGTGAAGCCCGGAATCCCCAGGTCTGACGGTCGGAGGCTGTGGGCTGCTCAGTGACTGGACCCCTGGGCCTGGCGCCGTCCTTCACCCCTCCGGCCAGGGCACAGATGTGCAACCGACCGTCCGCCCCTGAGCACGACAGTCCCCTCACTGGATCCGCCCCGGAGCGCCCAGCGCGGAGGCCGAGCCTCGGGGACCCTGAGTTGGGCCCCCGGCCTCTAGAGCGGCGGTGCGTGAGGCGCTCGGGCCCGCGCTGCTCGCCGCGGCCGCGGCCGGGTGGTGCGGGAGCCCCCAGTCGCGAGGGGAGGCGCTGCCGAGGGGCCGGGTCTGCGGCGGCGTCCGGACCCGCGGAGCTGCAGCCCTGCCCCGGGACGAGCACGCCCGCAGACCCGAGAGCGCCACCCAGCACCTGCACCCCGGCGGGCGCGGGTTCTCCCGAGTCCCGCGGGGCGCGAGCTCGGCCGCCCTCAGCCTTTCCGAGCGCCTGCTTCAGGAAGCGCCGGCGGAGAGCGGTTCGTGCGCCGGCCGCGGAGCGGCCTGAGCGGCCAGCGTGGCTGCCCTGCCAGGGCTGGGACTCTGGGAGAGCCGTGGGGCCCCGAGGAGACTTCGCGGAGAAGAGCCGGTTCCCCAGCCCTGAGACAGCTGGCAGCGGAGATTACAGAAGGTGACTCGGGTCAGTGTTAGGTGTCCGCTTTCAACTGCCACCGGGTGGGGTGGTGAGGGGCAAGGGACAGACTCGAAGTCACTCGAAAAAGTTCAGGGAAAAGGAAATGAAAGATGTTCGTTTTGGTGCAGACATGTTTGTTCATGGTACACCTTTTCTGTGAACTTTTTGAAGACTCCCCCAACTCTCCATGGTCTTGGGCTGTGGTGCACCGAAATCCTGAAGGGGCCTATACAGTCAGTTTTACCTTGACAGTTCGAGTGACTGGTGTGTTCCAGCCTGGACATCTGAGTCTGTTTTAGCATCACACTAATGGCTTGAAGTGGCTGTGGTCAGGTAAGTTGACACCGCCAGAGGATAAACTAGGTTTGACCCTATTGCTTCAAGCTCCTTCCCTCTCCCTTCTCCACACACTCCTGGGGTAGGATTCCCAGGTTTAAGAAGCACCAATGATCCAGTGCTGTGGCATAGCGTGTAAAAGCTTGTCTGGGGTGCTGTCATCCCAAATGGTTCAAATCCTGGCTGCTCCACTTCAGATCCTGCTCTCTGCTATTGGCCTAGGAAAGCAATGGAAGATGGCCCAAGTCCTTGGGCCCGTGCATCTGCATGGTAGACCAGAGGAAGCTAATGGCTTCTGATCGGCACAGCTCCAGCCATATGGGGAGTGAACCAGCAGATGGAAGACACCCCCCCCCCCGCCTCTCTTTGTAACTCTGACTTTCAAATAAGTGAATGAATGTAAAAAAAAAAAAAAAAAAAAAAGCACCGTTGGAGGAAGAATAGATAGTGAGGGTCATGAAGGGTAGCCTGGATCTATTTTTAGAAGAATGTTTTAAACAGCAAACTAATAAATGTAGGCCTCAGGTAAGCAACTTGCTTGTCCCTGAAAGGTTTGTGAATGAAGGAGTGAATTGGGAAAGCAGTGTCTTGGAAATACGAAGCTCAAAGCAGCATGAAGGGCGTTTGGCAGGGGTGGATATCAGTAGCAATAGTGGAATGTGCAATCTACTGGAGAAGGCAACAGGACCTTGGACCTCAAGAGTGGCACCAGGTATTTAGAGAACCGAGGCACTTAGCACCAGACTGTAACCTGGGTCATGTCACTCTGCCATCCCCTCACTCCCACCCAGAGGCCTATAATTAGCTACTTCCTCCTGCTTGCCTTGCCCTTCACTGTTCCCTCTTCAGCAAGAATCCTGATCTCTGCCTTGTTCTGGATTTCACAGGAGCCACAGCCCCTTACATGGCCTACAGTCCTGACCAGTCCAGCCCACACCTCTTCCCATCACTCTACCCAGAAGACCTTTGTTGTATCATCTTCTGGGAACCAGGCATGATCTCCCAAGGCTGAGGCCAAGGTTGCAGTGCTGGGAGGATCCAGCATGGGGATTCAGGGACCTCCCTCCCAAGTGTGGTTGCTCAGTGTTGGCTGAGGATAAAGAGTGAAGATGCAGTACCTGAAGGACGACATCTTCCTCCAGACCCCACACCCCCACTTGACCCACAGAGCCTATTTCTGGGTCCCAGCATAAGTGCTGCAACCTCACTTCCTCAGAGACTCACCTGCAGGGAACTTGCAGCCTCTTCCAGCGCCTGAATGTGACTGCTGGGGGAAGTGTGCCAGGACATCTGTGTGAGAGGTGACCAGCTCATCACACTAGTCCACTCAGCCTGGGCCCCCTGCAGGCCTATGGAATGGCCAGAAGGGAATCCCCAAACCTCCTCCCTATGACTCTCCAGGTCGAAGGGGTTGGCAGAAGGTCAAAGTGCTCAGAGCCAGCCCAGAGATTGAGGCTGAGAGGGTGGACATGGCAGGAACAGCTGAGACTGGGCTCTTGAAAAAGAAGCCAGAGGGAGGGCAGAATGGTGCTCTGCCAGAGACGGGGAGGGGGGAGGGGGGATCAGGGCTGGGGTTGGCAGAGCATGGATGAGTAGTACCTTGACCACCTTGGTATTATTTCTGTGGTGTCTGTTGTTACGTTTCCATTTTTAATCTCTGATTCTATAGATTGGAGTCTTCTCTCTTCTTTTTTTTAGTTAGTTGGGCCAATGGGGTGTCAATTTTGTTTATTTTTTCAAAAAAGCAGCTTCTTGCTTGGCTGATTTTTTTGTAATTTTTTTGGATTCAATCCTGTCAATTTCTTCTCTGATTTTCATTATTTCTCTTCTCCTACTAGATTTGGGTCTGGTTTGCTCTAGTTTTTCTAGGTCCTTGAGATGCGCTGAAAGCTCGTTTATTTGGTACATTTCCAGTTTCTTGATGTAGGCACCTATTGATATAAACTTTCCTCTTAACACTGCTTTTGCTGTATCCCATAAGATTTTTTTTCTTTTTTTTTTATCTTTTATTTAATGAATATAAATTTCCAAAGTACGACTCATGGGTTACAATGGCTTCCCCCCCCATACCGTCCCTCCCACCCACAACCCTCCCCTTTCCCACTCCCTCTCCCCTTCCATTCACATCAAGATTCATTTTCGATTATCTTAATATACAGAAGATCAGCTTAGTATACCTTAAGTAAGGATTTCAACAGTTTGCTCCCACACAGAAACATAAAGTGAAAAATAATAGATGATTTTTTTTTAAATGATGATGAAATCAGATCAGACCTATTGTCATGTTTAATCCCAGTGAGAGTCAAGTTGGGAATTGATAATTTCTTTTTTTTTTTTTTTACAGAAGATCAGTTTAGTGTACATTAAGTAAAGATTTCAATCGTTTGCACCCCCATAGAAACACATCCCATAAGATTTGATATGTTGTGTTGTTATCCTCATTTACTTCAGAAAGTTTTTGATTTCTCTTTTAATTTCTTCTATGACCCATTGTTCATTCAGGAACATATTGTTCAATCTCCATGTATTTGCATACTTTCTAGGGTTTCCTGAGTTGCTAATTTCCAGCTTCATTCCACTGTGGTCTGAGAAGCTGCATGGTATGATTCTAATTCTTTTAAATTTGCTGAGACTTGCTTTATGGCCTCGTATGTGATCAATCCTAGAGAAGGTTCCATGCACTGCTGAGAAGAATGTAAATTCTTTATATGTAGGGTTGAAAGTTCTGTAGATATCTGTTAGATCCATTTGGGCAATAGTGTCGATTAAATCTGCTGTTTCCTTGTTGATCTTCTGTCCGGATGATCTGTCTATTTCTGAGAGTGGAGTATTGAAGTCCCCCAGTACTATTGTATTGGAATCTAAATCTCCCTTTAAGTCCCTTAACATATCTTTTAAATAGACCGGTGCCCTGTAATTAGGTGCATATACATTTATAATAGTTACATCTTCCTGTTGAATTGAACCCTTAATCATTATATAGCGCCCCTCTTTGTCTCTCTTAACAGTTTTTGTATTAAAGTTTATTTTGTCTGATATTAATATGGCTACACCTGCTTTTTTTTTTGGTTTCTGTTGGCATGGAATATCTTTTTCCAACCTTTCACTTTCAGTCTGTATGCATCTTTGTTAGAGAGATGTGTTTCTTGTAGGAAGCAAATAGTTGGGTTTTGTTTCTTAAGCCAATCAGCCAATCAGTGTCTTAACTGAAGAGTTAAGTCCATTAACGTTTAATGTGACTATCGATACATAGTGACTTTGCCCTGCCATTTTCCCAGAGATATTTTCTAGTATATGCTTTGAGCTTCCTATGCTCTTTTACTGGTAGGTTTTCTTCCTTTACCTTCTTTCATATTGATGACCGTGTTTCTGTGTTTCTGTGTGCAACACATCTTTAAGTATCTTTTGCAGGGCTGGACGAGTGGCGGCAAAGTCTTTCAATTTCTGTGTGCTATGAAAGGTCTTTATTTCACCTTCATTCACAAATGAGAACTTAGCATGATATAATATTCTGAGGTGGCAGTTTTTCCTCTCTTAGTACCTGTGCTATGTCTCGCCATTCCCTCCTAGCTTGTAGGGTTTCTGATGAGAAGTCTGCTGTGAGTCTAATTGGAGTTCCTCTGAGAGTAATCTGACGTTTCTCTCTTGCACATTTTAGGATCTTTTCTTTATGTTTCACTTTGGTGAGTTTAATTACACCGTGTTGTGGTGAGGATCTCTTTTGGTCATGTTTACTAGGGGTTCTATGAGCTTCCTGTACTAGGATGTCTCTATCCTTCTCCAAACCCAGAAAGTTCTCTGCTAGTATCTCACTAAAAAGGCCTTCTAATCCTTTCTCTCTCTCCATGCCTTCAGGAACTCCTAGAACTCGAATGTTGTTGTTTTTTTTTTTTTTTAATAGTATCCTGTAGATTCCCCACAATATTTTATAGATTTCTAATTTCCTCTTCTTTTCTTTGGCTTGACTGTACCCTTTCCTGTGCTCTGTCTTCTAAGTCCAGTATTCTCTCTTCTGCTTCACCCATTCAGTTTTTTAGACTTTCTAATGTATTTGTCATTTGATCTATTGAGCTCTTCATTTCATTTTGATTTCTCTTCACTCTCACACTTTCCTGTTCTACTAGTTTCTGCATTTCATTTTGATTCTTCCTTAAAATTTCATTTTCACGAGAGAGATTTTCAATCCTGTCCAATAAGAATTTCTGTAGTCCAAGGATTTGCTTTTGAAAACTTCTAAATGTTCTTATGATAATTTTTTTGAAATCCATATCTTGCATTTCTTCTATCTCATCATCTTCATAATCTTGGCTTGGGGTGTTTTGTTTATTTGGAGGTGTCATAATGTCATCGTTGATCTTGTTCCCTCGATTTTTGTGTTTGTTGTTTTTTGTTTGTTGTCTTGAGTCGCCAAGGCTATGGAAGCCTTTTGAGTTCACCAACTCTGATCATGTGTAGACAAGGTCGTAGTCAATGTGGAAGTTCTCTCCTCCCTTCAGAGAAAGGTACCTCAGCACTCTGGCCTCAGAATCAGCCCTTAAGGCAAGCTCAATGCCTTTTTACATCAACTATCTCTATAATACAAATATTTGTTAACTTAGTGATATCTTTTGTGTCATGTGGGCTTTCTTCTTTATTTTAAATTATTTTCTCTTTGTTTTTGT